AGGAGGAAGAGGACAGCCTGTTCGGCGAGGGTCCGGAGGACCTCGAGCCCCCGTCATCTCCTGCCGCCGCCGCCGCCACCGCCGCCACCGCCGCCACCGCCGCCGCCGCGCCGATCCCGTCCCTCGCGGAGGGGGAGGGCAACGCCGCTCCCACCGGCCACATGTAGGACATGATGGACGGGGAGCCGGCGTCGCCCTCCATCAGCACCGGCTCCGGGCCCGACCCGGACTACGGCTCAGGTTGGGGCGCCATGCCCCCTCCTGAGCCGTTGCAGGAGTCCGCTGCCGCCGCCGCAGTGCCCAGGGGCACCACGACCACGACCGCGACCACCGCCGCCGGTCGCCTCCCTGGCGCGAGTTTCGAGGCGTCCTCCCTGGGAGGACAGGATGGGGAGGGCGCTGCGTCGTCGCTCGACCGGCCGGCTACCACGGCCGGTTCGGGCGACGCCAGCGGCCTCCCAGAGGCAAGTTCGTCGCCGGTTCCGCCGGGTACCGGCGATGACGACTACGACCTTTGGGGGTCGCCCCCACCGGCGACTTTGGACGAGAACGAGGCCGGGGCGCGGGGCGACAACCTCGCGTAATGTTTGGATGTTGTTTGGGTTAGGAAATGTTTGGAATGGCATGAACATAACATAACACCGTAACGTAGCACCGCATCCGTGACGTGACCTTGTTCCCAGAACGATCGACGGGGCTCTACTCCCGCGCGCTTTCCTAAACGCAAAAGTCGTTCACTCATCCATTGGACTCGTAGCGTGTCGTTAACACGTAAATAAATAGGGTATCTAGTGCCTGAAAAACGAGTAGACCACCGCTCCCACCAAGTTGTCCTCCTACTGTATCACATCCACCCTCCGATGTATTCACCCGCCCGCTTGTCGGGCGCAGTGCTTTGGAGCATCCATAAAGATAGACAAAGTGACTTCATACCACAATGCTAACGTTTCTTCGTGCCTCTGCTTCGTCGACGGAGAATTGAAAGACAAATTTAAAGAGCTCTCGCAAGTATCCATATCGCGATGAGCTGTTGCTCATGGCCTGCACGCTCTTGGCCATGTCTTGCGCAGTGACACGCTTCCCATGGGCAGGGAGCGCTTGGTTGCGAGGCAGGAAGGAGTCCGTGAGGACCGCGTTCTTGTACTGCTGGAGAAGAGCGGCGTGGCCGGGCAACGAGCCGAAAGACCCTGTCGGAAGTCCTTGGACGAACTTTTGCAGCACAGCCGCGCCAGTCTTCGGGTCCGTGATGGTCTCTCGGTCAAATCCAAGATTCATTGCCGCGCGGACCACCAGCACCTTGCACCGAGAAATATTTGGATCCTCCGTTGCTGTAGTGGTGGTGGCAGTGCTTGATGTGCGGTTGCTGCTTCGTGAGTAGCTTGACATGTTGGATGCGTTGCTCGACCATCGGCCACCGCGACCATTATCGCTGGTGGTGCCAAGCACCATGATGTTCGGCATCTGTGGTGATCGGCTTTCCGGAGAGACAGGCGTGTCTTCGAATTCTGTGACTGGGGTTTCTGGGACGGGTGGCGGCTTCCTTGGTCGCTCCTCTTGGTGGGCGCTCTTCACGCTCTCTCGCTTGGAGTGCAGAGAGGAGCGGTTTGACTGCCTGCTCTCGCGCCCGGTCTGGTCACTCGGCTGCGGTGGAAAGAAGCTCGTCTGGCTGGGCCTTGGCGTGTTTCGGTCTGGCCGTATCTGTGTCCAACCATCTCTGAATATGTCGCAAAGATCCCAGCATGCCTGGACAGCCGAACCGAGAAGCTCCTCATCGGGCGGCCTGCCGTCTCTTCTATTTTGCCGGAGACTGAAGAGCATCTCCGCCAGACTCCAGCAGGCACTCAAGAGGTGGTCAGTCTCTTCAGCGAGCTCGCCGCGCTGCTTCATGAGTCGATGGCAAAGCGTGATATAAAAGTCCAAAGTCCGCTCCCTGAATGCCTCTGGCAGATTCCGGCTGTCCTGGGCGCTATACAAACTGAATCACGCAGTCAGCAGCGGTCGGGCCAAGCTAAAAGCATCCGACTTACTGATTATTCAACTCGAAGCTGACCCGTAGGACGGAGTCTGCCGTCTCATCCTTGCGCTGCCGAATGTCGAACAAGGCCTGACAGAAGTCTCGACACAAATCGAGGTTCATGCGGACATTCATGGAACCAGAGTCCTCATCCTGGTTCTCATATAGGCGTTGGCATAGCCTCCAGCATGACTTCCAGGCTTTTTCATGGGCATCTGGAGTTCCTGAATTGTTAAAGACCCTGGTTCGGTGTATAGAGCTCAGATTGGCCAAGGTGTTGCACAGCGTCCAGCACTCTTGGAGCGCTGACCTCAAAGCAGTAATCTCGTCGTCGACGGGCCTGATATCTGGAATGCCCGAATAATCGTCATCTTCGTAATCGTCTCCTTCTGCCTCCGTTTGCTCATCAATCTCTGCATATTAATTAGCGACCGACTTTCTCGAGACTGCCACGCGCCTGCTCACTCTCTAGACTGCTTGTGCTGCTTGACCGTAGCCTGCTGCTATCGCTCAGCATATCCTGCAGGTCTTGGGCCCGTGGAGTCGCGGCGCTGTCGATGCTGTGCCGTACAGGCTTGACATCGGTCGAGATTGGCGGTCGGGTTGGAGGCGGCAGAGACTAGGTTTACCGGATTAGCAACCACGCCGTGTGGTCGACTTCACGAACTGACCTTGCGATTTGTCTCCTTGAGGGTTGCGGGGTCATTGTCGTTATCTCTTGGGGAAGACCGCTCGCTTGGCTGGCTGGCCTGAGCAGTAGGCTCCGTAGATGTCTGCGTACAAGCTGGTGTCAGTCCAGTGTCCGTAAGGAAGAGCGGTCACCGCGTACCCAGCTGGCAAAGCTCTCAGGAGCGTGGATAACAGACACTGCCTCCTCGCTGGTGGGCTGACGTAGATGCTCTGGTAGGTTTGTGCTGAGCATGAGAAGCTACCCAAGCATTAGCAGATGGTTCCGCCCGCGAATGCTGGCGTGGTGACCGACCTCTGAGCGACGCAACGCGTCCTGATCCGTTGTGTGCGCCTGCTGCACCTCCTCCGACACGTCGTCTTCGATCTCGGTAGTCTCTGTGCCATTCGACGTCACTGGCGACGGGCCCACGATATCACTTGGGCTGAGAACGTTCATGGGGTGGGACGAGATCCTTTGAGCCGAACTTGGTCGCAGCATGGACGAATCCGTAACGGCGGGTGGGGATGACCTGGCGAGCAACCGTAAGTAAAGGCAATGCCTGGAGCCTGGATTGAGCTGAACCTACACGACTCTCATGGGAGCGCGAAGCCCGTCGGCCTCTGGCGATGCAGACATCTCTCCCTCCCTGGTGAACGGAAAGTGCAAGTGTCCTGTCGATGACCGCAGAGGGGCCTCGAGCGCCATGGCGGGGTCGGCGCCGCGTTATAAGGCGTCGTTTCGAGACGGGAACTCGGCCAGAGTCGACTGCGGCGATGGCTCTCTGGCTAGTCGTCGCGCCGAGGTCGAAGAGAGAACGCCTTGTGCACCCCACTGCGCGCGCTGTGTAAGGTTTGAAATTCCGGTAGGTCGCGATGCGACGGCAGGACGGGCCTGCAGGATGGATGGCGGAGCGCAGGTTTATGCCCGGTCTCGCTGCGTGAGGCCAGACAAGCGCGTTAGATGAGGTCGCCAACACGGGCCTGGCTTACCAGCGGGCTTCCGGAACAGAAGCGGGCTGAAGAATCCAAGCGGCCGCGGGTGCACAGCCAAAAGGATTGGGGACGGGTGGGCGGCTCTGGGGTTAAAGAGGCTCGACACGCAGCAGGAGCTCCAGGCAGAGGGGCCAAGGTGGTTGGACGGGACCAACCCCTGTGTATGGGCTGCAGTAGGCTCACAGACCCCTGCCTTGGCCGTGGTGGTGAGTTCTTGCGAGCCCTTCCAAGCCTGCACAGTATCGCTTGTAAGGCGACCGAGTGGGCTGCAGGCTGAGAATCCAGGACCAACAGCGGGGAGCGGGAAGCAAGTAGGTATGTTCAAGAATGCTCTTGTGCCTGCTTGCGCGTCCACGGCTCCCGAAGGACGGTGAAAGGCGGGCAAAAGCCAGCCGACGAAGCAGAATGCTGGGATGCAGGCGGATGCGCTTCGTACCGAACTGGGACGCCTGACGGACTGGCGCGCGTATCTGCGATTGACGAGTCCACTTGTGAGGGGTTCCGCGGCTGCCAGGCGGGAGCTTCCTGTGCTGCGGCCACTCAGTTGGCCGTCTCGGCCGGCCAGGCTCAACCGCAAAGCTGCAGGTCGACCAGCCGGGCGGAGACGCTGCCTTTCAGCGCGCCTTTCTGTGCAACGAAAACAACACTGAAGCGCGACGGACTAGACGAATCCTTCGCGGCCGGCGAGAGCAGGCATGCGTCGCCGAATGCACAGGGCAGAGCCGACGCCGACATGGAGCTGCTACGACGCGGGTGATGCCAATCGACAACCAACCAACACGGCGAAACGAAAAGGTGCTCTGCGAGTCTCGGCTCGTCGACGAGCCCTGTGCGAACTGGAGGAAAGCCGACTGACAGCGCGCCCTCGGGTCCGCTTCGACTTGCCGGACCTACATCTCTCGATCCAACTGCGTTCACAGCTCGCTGAAGGCCGGCGCATCTCGAAGGGCTCATCCCTCATCCCACCCTTCCAGACGACCTGAACAGTAAGCTGCACATGGCTTGTGCAACGCCGCGCGCCCGCGCCGCCGTCTCCGTCCGCTCAGAGATGGTCCTCTCGGAGGGCAGCCAGTCAGATGCTAGCTCGGCCGCCGTGGTGGAGGAGGGGGACGGAACCGCAACGGCCAACGCGTGGGGCTGCATGAAATGCGACAGGCCCCGGCGCTTAAATTCAGGTGAAGGTGGGCTGGATTGCACATCTCAGCCATTCGTCGAAGAACACATCCGGATGTGTTCTCGCGGGTGGTGTGGTGAGAGCACAGGAAGCAGGCCTGCCTTTCTTCCACTGAGCTGCCGCGTGTTGCCATGTTGGCCAGCACTGTGATTGCTGTCTCCTCATCGTGGTTGACAGGCTTGAGCTGTGCATGTAAAGCCCTGCCCTGCCTCCTGGCAGCCCGGTGCTAAAAAGGGGGGAAGACGGAGTTCGAACAAAGGCGCGCGTTGGCTCTCAACCTTGACTGACGTGACCCGTCCACGGCCGGGGTGCGGGCGTCCGTCGGCGACCATGAGCACCAGGCCGGGCCGCAAAAGACCAAGCGATCCGGTGGCATGGGACGAGCATGCCGCTAGAGCCGCGATTCGAGGATCAGTTTCACTGTCGGCCAACGTGACGGGCACTGATGCGGATGCTGGCCAAGCGCGCCTGAAAGCTGCGTGACAAGACAACCGCAAGAAGCACCGTTTGCGAGCGCCAGTCCTTGCGGTGGCTTGTCTGGGGTCTTGCAACCCCAGGCACTCGACCTGGCGGCCATGGGCTCCATCACTGCCTCAACGCTCAGTGGCTGGGCCGTGTCCCGAAGATCTGGTCGCGGCGGCTGCGACAACCCAAATCAGGGGAGCGCCGACCCCACAGCATCCCGGCCTGTGCTGGGGTCTGCGCTCCCATTCCTCTTCGGACCTGAGCCGGGCATCAGAGAGGATGAATGGGTGTGGCACTCTGGATGGTGGGTGGTGACAGTCGTGGATGTGGATAAATGCGACGGAGGAGGAGACAAGAGAAGATGGGAAGAGGATGGCGTGAGGGCAGAGCGGCGATCTCTCGGGGACGATGTGCTCGGAAGTTGGGGAGAATCCGGGCTTGGGCAACAGACAAGAGTTGGCTCCTGCCTCACGTGGAGGCTGATAGTGAGTGATAAGTGAGGAAAGGGCATCAGTTGGGTGCTCCTTCCCCCGTTGCGGTTCGCCGAGACCACTTTGGCAATCCGATTCTTGCGTGGGCCAGAGTCTGTAAGCCCTCCGTAACATAGGCAGACCGCTATTACAGATGACTGGGGCTGTGAGTGCCGCTCGCAGTGACTCTGGGTGCACTTCTGGTTGCACGTCGAAGCAACACCTTGGGGAAATGCGCCATCTCATGGTGGTTGTACGAGGATCGGCGTCGGGTTTGTCCACTTCTCCATCAATTCTCGACGCTGCTCGCTTGGGCTTGGACACATAGGCGAGGCATAACTACTAAGCGCGCCGCAGGGACCTTGCAGTCAATCGCCGTCACCAACAGAAGCGTCATTGCGACAAGACCAGCACATGGCTGTCCCCTGCCGTATGTAAGGGCGAGCCAGAGTATGCCAGGGCATTTTACGGAGGAATCACACGCCCTGAGTGCCTTGCATTCGATGCTACGCGTATGGGCATCTTGCTCTCGTTGGATGCACAGCACATGGCGGCCCGCCAGACCAAGTCCATGCGTCCACCTCACCAAGAACGGCAGTTGTACGAATTGTCGATTGGATATGATAGAATGCGTGGAAACATCGAGTGGCATTCGTGACAACCATGTGGCGCATCGACATCGGCTGTCACAGCCGTGCTCAGAAGCGACTTGGCCAGAGCACGCTGCGCACCCGAGTCCACGCCTGGTTGATGAGCCATTTGAAACGCCGCGGGCGCGTCTCTTGGGCATAAACACCTTGCGATAGGCGCTCAGGCGCAATGGTCGGACCCGACAGAGTGGTTTGGCGGAGCCACTACTCGTGCATGTTGGCGGTGAGCAGCCCCACGAAAACATGTGTTGGTGCTTGATAGGCGCACGCTCGGCCGAGGCCACTGTGATGTGATAGTCAAGGGATGTGCCCTGTTTTCTGCCTTGTATATGCCCTTGGCCTCTCTCCGCAGTTGCCGGGGGCTTTGCTTTTGGCGCCAGCCTTGAGGCTCTGCAAACATGCCAGGAAGCTGTGTCAGGTGCTCTGCCAGATATGCGAGGCAGGGCTCATCCCGCCAGGTTGACACGCTCCGCAGCATCCTTCCCAGCCACTCGAATGTTCCAAGAAAAACATCAACAGACTCGATAGAGCAGGTCGTTGGTCGAGACGAGATTAAATGGTGTCAAGTCGCAAGGGCAGATGATGGTGATGGGAGCGCGCCCAGTAGGCAAGCCCACCTGGACCAGAGGATGCACGGAACGGCAAGATGACCAGAAACTCGTCCATTTTGCCTATTCAATATCGCGAGCGGCAACTCGCTTTTGAGTCAGCCCAGAGCTGGGCTGTGCAGTGTTGCTAATCCATGCGCCAATCCATCGTAAAACCAGTCGTTCCGAACGCCGTAACATGCACGCTCCCCCCCGGATCTCGCCACGCCGTCTAGGCGACCTCGTTCAACCGCTGCTTCTTCTCGTTTCGGCCGTCGGGGGTATACCTAGGAGAAAGTCAGTGACTGGTCTAGGCTCCATGATATTCGTGTGCCGTACTTGAGCAGCTTCTCGATGAGGTCGACGTGGGTCATGATCATGCGGCGGCAGCAGTAGCGCTTGAGGCCGAGCTCATCCATAGCGTCGCTAGTATCTTGCATTAGTACCTCAAGTCTGTCGCTGCGTCGCGACGTGCACATACCCGTCAGTTTTCCTGGGGTCCGCGATCAGTTGCAGGTACCGCTCCCACAGGTCGCCAGTGACCTTGGATAGTTAGCGACGAGCGGTCAGGCCATACTGTAGATGCGCTTACCTTGCCACAAGAGAAGCAGCGGATCGGAATAATCATTTTTGCTGTGTTTTGGCGATGCCGACAGAGTTTCCACGACGCGACGATGTTTGCGACAGGGTGACGGGCGGGTAGAGACTTCGCCCAGGCGTTAATCTTTAAAATGCTTCCCGGCCGAAGTTTTCCCGCCACGCCTCCTTATCTTATCGCACGAAAAAGTTCCCCAGCGGGACCAAAATTTCTGTACCACCGAGAGACACTGGACCCTGTCCTCCGACAGCAATCACCAGCTCACTGCGACTTGCAAATTGACACTGGTCCTGCGGCGCAGAACCTCGTCGCGAACATGGCGGGTTTGAAGAGCCCCAGAGTCAGGGACGACAAGACGAAAAAGCGGAAGCGCGAGGCGAATGACTCTGAGACCAAGGCGAAGCGGCATCGACAACAAGCCCGCCAAGGGAAAGCGAATGGCGACGAGGGTGATTCGGAGTCTGACAGGCTAATTGAAGCCGACTCGCTCCTGGAAGTTGCCGTGACGAGCCAAGGGGACCTGGTCGGGCACCTCGAAAATGGAGAGGCAGGCTGGAGAATCTCGAAACCCATGGGAGGGCGGATGCTGGACATTGATCCGATTCTAACGGCGGATGACCGGTATGTGAGGAGATCATTGTGCAAAGAAAAAGGCTGACATGATCTAGCTATCTCATCCTGACCTACAACACTTCGATCCAAGTCTATACTGCCATCGACTCGTTGCTTGTCAGGCGGATACCGATCACCACTCTCGATACCTCTGCGCCGCAGGGGTCAACGCCTGCCACGATTATCGCGACTCGGCTCTCTGCGCAAGACCCCAACTTTGCCTGGGTTGCCTGCTCGGATGGCCAAGTTTACCATGTCGACTGGACCCAGAGCACGGAAGCTCCGACAAGCTTCAAGACTGCGTCCGGCACTGCCAAGGCAATGGCCGTGATATCCGCGCAACGCCAGGGTAAAGGAGAAGACACCATCTTGGTGGTCGAGTCCGACAAGGAGCATCGCATGGAAGTCGTGGCATACCAGGGAAAGACTGGGACTACCACGGCATCCAAGAGCTTGCTGGCTCTCAAGAAGTATGGCGCCGGACTGCAGCTGCTGGAAGCCAGCACAGACGGCCAAGTTCTTATCGGCGCATTCCACGATCGCTTGTTCCTCGGCGTGGCTTCTCAACCCGGCACTGGCAAACTTGAAGATCTACAGTACGAGTTTTACTCGTTTGACATCCCGGATCTCATCACCTCCCTGAGCCTGCGGGTTCACAAGAAGTCCAACAGTCGAAAGGTGCAAACTGGGTTCGACAAGGCGGTTGACGTCGTTGCTGGTGGCGCACGTGGAGCCATATATGTATATAGCGATGTGCTCTCGCGTCTCCAGGCCGCAGGCAAGTCGCAAGCGGCGAAAGATGGTGTGCAAGTGCAGCGACTGCATTGGCATCGCCGAGCCGTCCACGCCGTAAAGTGGTCTCGCGACGGTATGTGTTGTGCGTTCTCCTTCAAGATCCAGAGCACGGCTGACTAGTAACAGGAAACTACATTCTCTCCGGTGGCTCAGAGAATGCCCTTGTCTTGTGGCAAGTGGACACGGGCAAAAAGGACTTCCTCCCGCATCTGTCGGGCAGTGTGGAAAACATTGTGGTCTCCTCATCAGGGTCATCATATGTAATTCACCTCGACGACAACTCTTGCATGATTCTCTCAACTGCCGAGATGAAGCCGACCACGTACGTGTCCGGCATTCAATCCGCGGCCATCGATGTGGCGACGCCCAAGGACCTCTTGGTGAAGCGGACCTGGAGCACCGCGGACCAAGTCAGGCGACCGATCCCGGCTGCAATCAAGCCTTCAGACCCGTCAAAACTTCACGTCTGCGTCGGTAACGGCCGTCAAGCCTCCATGGCTGGCGATTTCTCGGCGCCGCTGCTTCAGACGTTCGATCTCGACTCGTTTACGAGCGTGACGAAACAGGCGCTTGCCCGCACGCAGACGACAGCCCACAATATGACCAGCAAGGGCCACACAATCGACGAGCCTTTGGTCAGCCATATCGCCTTCTCCGGGGATGGGAAGTGGCTGGCTAGCGTGGACGAGTGGACGCCGTCAACAAAGGATCTGGAAAGTGTGAGCAGCGACTTGCGAGAGCAATTCATCCGCGAGAGACGAGAGATCTACCTCAAATTTTGGGAGGTCCGCGACAGCGACGCGTCGGTTGCTTTGGTTTCCAGGATTAACACTCCCCACGCCACGAACCAGCCCGAATCAGTCCTTGATCTCGCCTCAGATCCCACCTCGACGTCGTTTGCCACCATTGGAGCGGATGGCATCGTGCGGGTGTGGCGACCCAAGGCTCGCCAACAGAATGGCCTCGCTGTCAAGGGGATGGAGGGTCACGACACTGTCACCTGGGGCTGCTCGCATATCATCGCCGTAGGCGACTACGTCGGCAAGGAGGCTGGGACGGAGATTTCAACAACCACAGCCCCAGCCAAGACACAGGGAAGCATCACGTTTTCGGAAGATGGCTCGACTCTCTTCGCGGCCTTTGGAGCCACCGATGTTGGCGTGGTCTACGTTATCGATGCTGCCAGCGGCCAAATCGTCAAGGTGCTGGAGGGATTGTGGAGCGGCCAGCTGCAGTCGATCCGCGCACTCTCTTCGTTCGTTCTTGTCCTGTCCAAGGACTTGCGCGTCTACGATGTGGTCGGGGACGAGCTGCAGTATGGCATCGTCATTCCCGAGATACCAGGAGTCAACGAGCTCCTTCAGCTTGCCGTGGACCACACATCCGGCCACTTTGCCGTCACATTACCCATCGGCGGCATATCCAGCGTGGGCATCTTCGACCCAGAGGACCCGGAGCCGCTGCTGGTGCGAAGCACTCCGCACAGAATCGTCAGCCTGGTCTCCGCCCCCGCGACGAGCGGCTTTATCGCCCTGGACGATGCCGCCCAGGTCTGGGTGATTGCCGAGGGATCTGATCCGTCGGCGTTGACGACTGTACAGCCGCTGCAGGATCTGCAGCTCGATGGGCCGGCTGTTGATGACAACAAGAAGGACATCATCCTCGACGTCGACGACGCGGAGATGGCCAGTGACGAGGAGATGGATGACCAGGTGCCGGAAGACGAGGAAGACGTGGACATGGACGACAATGACTTCCACCCGAGCGTCATCCCACAGCAGTACCTTGCGGACATCTTCGATGCCGCCCCTGCCTTTGCCGCGCCGTCGGTGGAGGACATGTTCTATAAGGTGACGGGGCTGCTTGCAACCAAGCCGCTGTCTTCTGGCTCAACATGACGCCGTCTAGCATTACGGGAGGGACGTGCGCGCACTGCATAGTTTTTTTTGGTCGTTGTCGACTGCATTGCCGGCGTTTATTTGGCGTCCGCATGTTAGATTTAGAGGTCAGCGGCCGGAGGGGACCGAAGCGAGCTCGGCGACGCACAAGAGCGGACCCGCAACCTCGGTGGCGCCGGGAACGGCGCGTGTGGGGTGCGGGGGGATGACGGGATGCCAGACCGGAGGGGTCCCGATGGCGCAATCAAGAGGGCGCACTCACTACACGCCTGATCTGATAGTTCTGAATACCACACTTCCTCGGCAAACTCTCCGCCTCAAACAACGTGAGCCGACGCCGTCGACGCAGCTAGGAGGGGAGTCCGTCGTGACACATTGACTATCGCTTTGCGCGCTCGCCACAGCCATCATGTCGTCCTTCACTTCGATCCCGATCCTGGACCTGGAGCTGGCGCGGGACCCGGCGACCAAGCCCGAGTTCCTGGAGCAGCTGCGCTATGCGCTCATGGAGGTCGGGTTCCTGTACCTCAAGAACGTGGGCATCCCGGCCGAGCTGTTCCAAGAGGTCATCATAAAGGGCAAGACCTTTTTCGACATTCCGTTGGAAGAAAAGTACGCCTCCTCATGTCCTGCTCATGTTTCCCCCTTCCTTTTGGCAGTTCATGATGAGGCTGATCTGATTCTCACGCTGTTTCCGTTGCCCACAGACTCAAGATTGAGATGAAGAACGCGCCGTCCTTCCTGGGCTACTCCCGCCTGTCGGCTGAGATCACGGCCGGCGAGGTGGACCACCGCGAGCAGATCGACCTGTCGACGGAACACCCCGTGCCGGCGCCGGGCTCGCCGCTCTACCGCAACCTGCTCGCGCCGAACCAGTGGCCGTCCGAGGCCAGCTCGCCGGGCTTCCGCGCCGTCTACGCCGACTACATGCGCCGCATGGGCGCCGTCTCCATCTACTTCACGTCGCTCATCGCCGAGGCCATCCAGCTGCCCGCCGACGCCTTCGACAAGTACTTTGACGCGGACCAGCAGCACAAGCTCAAGATTGTCAAGTACCCGGACATGGCGGAGCTGGGGCGCGCGGCTGGCGGCGGCGGTGGCGATGATGTGGCAGGAGAAGGAGGAGAGAAGGAGGCGGCGAAGCAGGGCCAGGGCGTCGGCCCGCACAAAGACAGCATGCTGACGTCGTATCTCCTCCAAGCGACGGCCCACCGCGGGCTGCAGGTGCAAAACGTCGAGGGCCGGTGGATCGACTGCCCGCCGATCGACGGCACGCTCGTGGTGGCCATCGGGCAGGGCATGGAGGCGCTCACGCAGGGCGTCTGCGTGTCGACGACGCACCGCGTGCTGAGCCCCGCGGCGGGCTCGGGCGCGCGCTTCTCCATCCCCTTCTTCCAGGGCGTGCGGTACGACGCCGACTTCGACGAGCTGGAGACGGTGGGTGTGGGCGCTGTGCCCGACGAGGTGCGCGAGCAGCGACGGCGCGTCGTCGAGCGCACGGGCGGCCGCGTCGACGACGTCGAGTTCACGTTCCGTAAGGGCGCCGTCGCAAAGACGCTCGGCGAGGCGACGCTGCGCAACAGGGTCAAGAGCCATCCCGACGTCGGCGAGCGCTGGTACCCGGACATACTGCGCGCCATCCGCGAGGAGCAGGCTCGCGCGCTGTCCAAGCAGGCCTCCGGGGAGCACCAGGTGCCGTCCACGTCAACGGGCTTGCCGCAGCCGGTGGTGGAAGCTCATTGACGGGGCCAAATACCAAAGGCAGGGGGGGCAACTGCGGCGGCACGGGTTGGCGCTTATAGATGTGAGAGCAGATACAGTCAAAGTGTATAAGTCACGTTCGCGAGAATTCACTACGCGCCATCACGGCACCAAGTCTACACCCCGCTACGCTCTACTACGTCTTGCGCCCCCAGCAACCCCGCTATCTAATCCAGTTCCCAATAAGTCTGTTTTTCGCTGTCCATCAAAACTCCTAGAGCCATGCCAAACCCTCCTTGTAATATTAAGAAACGTCTCGTCGCATTCGATTCGGCCGGTGGAGCCTCACTGGCCGGCGCCAGGGAAGCAGTCGGCGAGGCCCTTGTTGTGCTTGTTGGAGGCGTGCTCGAGGAGACTGCAGTCGTCATCAGTGGCTAAGCCTCGAGTCGAAAGGATGGCGTTCGCAAACGCGCGAAAGGCTGAAGGGTAGGGGAGTTGTCACTCACGCAGGGGCCTTGGTGGTCTGGAGGAACGTCGCCTTGCAAACCTGGCACTGGATGGTCAAGGCTTTCTGGTTCTAAAAGGTGATCCTGGTGTAAGCGGCGCGTCTCGGAGCGTGGTGACCAGGGGTGGACACGATGGTGAGGACTTTGACGTACGACTTTGGTCTGCGACTTGGCAACCTTGGTGTCCTTCTGGTTGCGGTCACGCTTCTGCTGTGCCTTGGCTCCCTGGAGAGTATCATCGGTCGACCTGCGCGTCAGCCGGGTTGCCCGAGATGGGGTGAGGGGTATCGCTTTCATCAAGGAGGCGTGTCTTACGTTACCCATTGTTGCGGTTCGAGACAAGAGCTTTGGGCTGTAAAGATGGATGGACTAAGAAGGTTGCGGGGGAGGAATCCTGGTCGGAGCTAGGGCGGGGAATGTCGGCAGATGGGCTGAAGATGTGCGGCAGACCGGGGTGGGCTTGGTCGGGGGAGTTGTTGCGTCGAGACGGGAGGGAGGGACAAAGAGGTTGTCGTGGACGATGGATGAGAAGGCGGCGGGATAAAAGTGCGGCGGTGTCATTCGAGCCGGCGACACGGAAAAGAGTGGTGGGAAAATTTGCTCCGCCGCGCAGACAGGCGCGGGTGAGCCTCGGCGCTTCTCCCAGTGGAGGGGTCGCCTAGGACGGGAGTAGATGGTGCCCGGGAGGTGGGCTGAATCGCTACCAAGTTGGCCGTCCCTGCCTGTCCGTCCCCTGAGAAGTGGGTGTCGGGTGCCTGAGTGAAGGAGCGCCGCCCGCAACGGGCCCTGGTGGCTCCATCCTTGGGCCACATGCCACATGCTCCCTCCCTGCTGGCCCACGAATGCCGTCTTGCTGACGGTTGCAATCCCACAAACGCCCGTATCATCCCCACCACTGCCTGTCATTGTTTCCATCCCGAGGTCCTTTATCAGTCACTGCTCAAGAGCCACCAATGTAGCCGTCTACGAAGCAACAGCGGCAGATATACGGAGTATAACGAACCCTGCGCGAGAAAATCGCCCTGCGGGAACGACAGACGCCCGTCCTCGCCCCGGCATGCATCGTTGCGGGCATCCCGACGCGGCCAGTTCCCCCGGCTCCACTGTCTCCCGCGCACGCCCGCATGTCCGGTCCCTGACGATCGTGGTGGGGGTCCTGGCGAAATTGGACGGATCAAGGCTAGAGAAGCCATGACACGTTGTTGCAGCGCCAGCCACGTCCGTTCCCTCGCATCGGCACCTCTCTCGCTCTGGCTCTCTCTGTCGGATAACCCATGACTCGGCCAACCCGGCTTTGTGGTCCCGTTGAAGAAGTTTGTGAACATGGCATAGAACCGCGGGTGTGGCTGACTGGGCTTACTCTCGGGACTGCCGGTGGTCGCCGACGCTTTTCACTCTCAGCCTCAGCCACGAGAGCCCGCATCACGACGCGATGCTTCATTCGCCGTCTCGCAAGGTTCTCTTTGACATTTGTCAAGCGGTCATGCTTATGCTGGCTGAACGGGTATGACGATGTAACCGCGACGGACCGTCCAGACCATAGGCCCATCGGCAGACGTGGACTTGATAACCCGAACATAACAGCCGCTGCTCAATACTCCCTAGCCTATGCGCTTTGCCAGTGCCGGACGCGTCCGCCACAGGGGTCACCCAAGCTGTGGAGCCCTGCCGTCTAAGCCCGTCAGGGGAAGTTGGCCATCCAGGCTTGCTTGGTCCTGGGTGCCAGCGCCGAACCACCACCGCAAGTTGCTGCAGCCGATATGGAGCTGAGAGGCAGGCCGCAACCTAGTTCTTCCAACCTGTGGTTCCCGACGCGCTCGTCATTGGATGACTCGCGTCGGGCTATGCGAAGCAACCTGTGCAATACCCGCTGGGCTGATGCAACTCTACGCATGGCATCATGGTCTCCTCCAAACTGCATCCTGTGAATCTGGGCCCGGGCAGAGCGGAGGGCGGGCCGATCGAGGTGTATCCCTGCGATGCGACGCCCCGAATAGGAAGCCAACTGCGAGAATGTGGGCGAGAGGTGCTTCCGTAGGTGGGCCATGAGAAGGACCCGAGGCAGAGGCGGGAGGTATAGCTCCTGGGATATAAAGCCAAGGCGCGTCGTGGCCATTCTCTGTCCCCTCATCACCAACTCCTGTGAGCTTGAGAACGCGTCTGATCGATAGTCGACAATATGCTCAAGTTCGCCGCGGCTGTCGCCTTGGTTCTGGTCGTCGCTTCTGCGAGCCCGACCCCCGGCAACAACAATGTCGCCGAGGATCGCGTGTCAAAGCGGGCAACCGACTTTTGGTACCCCAACATGGACCACACCGGTCAGTACCGCGGCTATGCCCCGGACCTGGATGGCGACTACACCTACCAGGTGTACAAGTCTGTCAACTCTGGTGACGGCGACGCCATCCAGGCGGCCATTAACGACGACAACGGCGGCAAGCGCCATGGCCAGTGGCTGGCGTCCCAGCCTAGGGTGTGTCTAGAGATGCCCTCGAAAGGATTCACCATGATTAGGCACTGACTCTCGCCCAGGTCGTCTTCATCCCCGGTGGCACGTATGAGATCAAGAAGACCATCTACATGAACACTGACACCATCCTCATGGGTGATCCCACCAACGTAAGGGAGTTCTTGTCGTCGCTGCCCAGGGCCACACTGACAACTTTATAGCCACCGGTCCTCAAGGCTGCTGCTGGATTCTCTGGCGACCAGACTCTCATCTCCGGCCAGGACCCGACCACGAAGGATTCTGGCGAGCTCTCGTTTGCCGTTGGCCTGAAGAACCTCGTTTTGGACACGACCAACATTCCCGGCGGTACGTCTATACAGATATCGTCATGGCTGGATGCTGACCAGACAAAGGAAATGCCTTCACTGCGCTCTGGTGGGGTGTCGCCCAGGCTGCCCAGCTGCAGAACATCAAAATCACCATGGCCTCGTCTCAGAACGGCCAGGGCCACAGCGGCATCCGGCTCGGCCGTGGCTCGACCCTGGGTCTGTCGGACGTGCGCGTCGAGCGCGGCCAAAACGGCATCTGGCACGACGGCCACCAGCAGGCGGCGTACAAGAATATTTACTTCTACCAAAACACCATTGGCATGCTCATCAGCGGTGGAAACACCATCACCATCACCGCCTCCACGTTTGACACTTGCGGCACCGGCATCCGCAACACTGGCGGCGCCCCCTGGATTGCTCTGATCGATTCCAAATCGGTCAACTCTGGCGTCACGTTTGTCACCACGGGCTACCCGTCATTCCTGATCGAGAACCTGGACAAGGACACCAACTCGGACATTGCCCAGGTGCCGAACCAGACGGTTCTGGGACCCAAAAGCCACGTTAACACGTTCACGTACGCCAACACGGTCGGCCGCAACCCCATCTACGGCGCCACCAGCTCTAGTAACTCGCGCCCTGGCGCTTTGGCTCCTGGCGGCAGATTCCCTGCGATCCCTGCGCCCAACTATCGCGACAAGAAGGCGTCGGACTTTATCAACGTCAAGGATCCGTCTCAGAATGGTGGGCAGACTATCCTCGGTGACCACACCAAGGATGAGTCGGCTGCCCTCAACAAGGTGTTGCAATATGCCGCGCAGCAGAACAAGATTGCCTACTTTCCCTTTGGCAAGTACCGCGTCGACTCGACCTTGTTCATCCCCCCTGGCTCGCGCATCGTCGGCGAGGCTTGGGCGACCATCACTGGTAACGGCAACTTCTTCAAGGATGAGTCCAACCCCAAGCCTATCGTGTCCGTCGGCCGTGCTGGCGACGTTGGCGTGGCACAGATCCAGGACATGCGTTTCACTGTCTCTGATGTTCTCCCCGGAGCCATCATCTTGCAGTTCAACATGGCAGGCAACGCGCCCGGGGACGTCGCGCTGTGGAACTCGCTCGTCACCGTGGGAGGCACGCGCGGCGCGTCTGGCCTGACCAACAGCTGCGGCGACGCCAGCAACGAGTGCAAGGGCGCCTTCATCGGCATGCACTTCACCAAGTCATCGTCGGCGTACGTCGAGAACGTGTGGAACTGGGTGGCGGACCACATCACCGAGGACTTTAGCGGCGGCTCCAGCATCGCTGCCAAGGGCGGAGCGCTCGTCGAGTCGACCAAGGCGACGTGGCTGCACGCGCTGGGCAGCGAGCACTGGTGGCTGTACCAGCTCAACCTGCGCAACGCCAACAACGTCTTCATCTCGATGCTGCAGGCCGAGACCAACTACGAGCAGGGCGACAACGTGCGGCAGATCCCGCCGGCGCCGTGGACGGCCGACAAGAACGGCTGGGGCGACCCGGACTTTTCGTGGTGCGGCGGCGGCGACAAGCGGTGCCGCATGGGCCCTGCCAACTACATCAACGGCGGCTCCAACGTCTACACGTACGGGTCGGCGGCCTGGGCGTTTTTCAGCGGGCCGGGCTACCAGGGCTGCGGCCAGTTCCAGTGCCAGCGTGAGTTTCTCTGAGGTTGCAGTGTTTGATGTAAAGCAACTCTTTGCTGACTTGAGCCCACAGAGACGATGCACTGGATCGCACAGACGCCCAGCAACCTCCAGGCCTTTGGGCTGTGCTCCAAGGACGCCGAGACGGTGCTCAGGCTGGCAGACGGCACGAGGATCAAGGCGCAGGAGGGTTTCACGGGTTCGTGGCCCGGCGGCGGTGGCGACGTGGGCCGCTACACCCCCTAGGACTCTAGGTGGTGACTGATTCGTAGCATTGCGTCTAACGTTTATGATGTATGTACACGATCTCCGCTGTGTTTCCATAGACAGTGGCAATACAGCGAGGAAGAGAGAGAAAAACGTATGGCCGTCGCATGAGTTCCGACATCTGTCCCGCGCGTTAGCACCGTTCGCTGCTCGTAGAGTAATCTCATCTGCAAGTCACATAATAAGAAGAAGATGCTCACCACAGGGTCGGTCCGCCATGAAAACCCTCGTCACCGCCATTCTTGGCCATGGCGGGCACGGCGACGAGCCCTCCGCCGTACCGCCGCCGGCCCATCCCGCCCATGCCGACGCCGACGCCGACGCCCCTCCTGCAGCGGCGGCAGGTGCCCGCGTGCTTGAGCTCGACGTACTGGGCGCCAAAGTCGCAGAGGCCAAAGTGGGAGCGCAGGCGCGCGACGGGGCACCACTTGGGGACGCTCTCGCGGTGGGGGGTCTCGCGGGCGCAGAGCTCGCAGACGGTGACGTTGTGGAGGTCCTCGCACATAGCGGATCGCGATGGATTCTGGCGGCGCTGACGACAGAGGCGCTTGAAGCCTTGAAGCCCTTGACGTTTGAAACGTGTGTCTATGTGTGTGTGTTTTGGGCGATGCGATGCGATGAGGGTGCTGAGCGAGGCACCGGCGGTGAGGGCTCGGACGTCGAGGGGAGGCTTTTCGGGCTTTGAGTGAGTTCTATGACTATTCAAGCGCTGCTCGCTCCCCCTTGGTGATCTGTGATTCTTCTCCCCGTGTATATATCCCGGGTGGGAAATTAGATTCAAGCGAAAGTCTGCCCAGCTGGCGTAGCGCAAGGGCCCTGTTTTGATGTGATGATGTGTTTTTCATTCGGAACCCTGGTGATACTCGTGTTCGGTGTAAGTTACGAAAGGAGGGGGGGAAGAACACCTCCCCATTGGGGGCCGCGGCCGGCTTCATGCAGCCAGCCTCATTTTCTGTTTTGGCACACCACCGCTCTTGTTGTCGACGTGGTTCAAAACCGCCCACTTTTCGTGAGGGACGCACAGAATAAATGGGAAGACGACTAGATTCGGTGACGTCGCGGGCCGATGCGTGCGTGCGTGCGTGCGTGCATGCAGGCATGCCGAGGAACTGCACTTTCGGGGCAAGCGGGTTGCCCCGTACGTACGTGTAAGTGCGCGTGTTGTTGTGTAATGTGGGATGATGAGTGCCATGGCGAACGGGCGGCGCGCCGGGGGTTACTGTTGCAACTGGCAAGCATACTACGCGGGTGGGCTTGCTTGAACTGAAGCGGCATGCCTACTGCACATACCTCATTCCTTCAAACAGATGATGTAGATATTTGCCCGAGGACGACACCTTTTCTTGGCGGCTAGTCACCTTCGTGATGTTGACCGTTTCCTGGGGAGACATTGTTAGCGCCCAAGTTTGACCGTTGAAACTGCCCCGCATTACCGCTGGGCACCCCCAGGCAGCCTCATCAACCTCTAACTAACGTTACTTCTTACACACAAACGCACGCACGCCCGACCACACGCCCTCATCAACGCGTCACACGGCGATTCGCAGCGCGACGAAGCCAGGTCGCGCAATCGCAATCGCAATTTTCACATTTCGCCCTGCCTTTCCAATCTCACCGAAAGCGAGCACCGATCGTCGCGGCTTCTCGGGCGTCACAAAGGGAGACGACCGCGCCATTGGCTTTCTTTCCAACACCGTTCACGACCAGCCGCTCTAGGGCCGTCAACGCGTTTAACTCTAGTATACACCATGGGCGGCGGCGCTCCCTCGCCAGACGCCCTCACCAGGGAGGAGTTCGACGCCCTCCTCGCGCAGTACCCGCCTCTCGTCGAGTCCATATCCAAGGCCAAGGGCTGTACGTCGCGTTCCCTCTTTCTTTCTCGCACATCGCGCCTCGCGCCTCACTCTTTCACGCTCACGCTCACGCTCACGCTCACGCTCACTCTCACTCCCTCCTCCTGCGCCCTCCCATTACCAACTTTGACTTCTCAACCCCTAATCCCCTCCATCCATCCCTCTCACCAACCCTCGCAGAGTCCAAGTTGAAACGCGCGCTCACAAACCCCCCCACCCGCAGCCAAGCCCGGCCAAAAGACCCTCCAGGAGCTCGACCGCTTCCGCTACGTCGACGCGCCCGCCGCCTTTGGCGCCCATGATGACCACCGCAACAGCAACGACAACAGCAACAAACCCGCCCGGGCCATGACCCTCGACGACGTCAAGCTCCTCGTCGAGTGGAAGCTGTACGTTGATCCCTCTCTTGGTGCCTCCTCCATTCTCCTTTCGCCAGCTTTGAAACCTCGACATCTGACATCTACGTGCTATTTTCACGTTTGACAGCCGCCACGGCAAGTTTCGCCCGACGCTCATGTCCCTCGTCTCCTCCAACCCCGCCCCCCTCGTCTCCTCCACCATCTCCTCCGCCGTCTCCGCCTACCGCTCCTCCCTCCCTCCTCCTTCCTCCTCCTCCTGCTCCCTTCCCTCATCGTCTTCTTCTTCCTCCCCTCCTCCCGCCCGTACCTCCCCCTCCACGTCCGGCGCACCACCACCCGCACCCGCAGCCGCCACGGCCGGAGCCCTCCTCGCCCTCTGCTCCCTCCGCGGCGTCGGCCCCGCCACCGCCTCCCTCCTCCTCTCCGTGCACGACCCCCGCCGCGCGCCCTTCTTCTCCGACGAGGCCTTCCTGTGGCTCTGCGCGGGGGCCAACCCCCGCGCGCCCATCAAGTACGTGGAGAAGGAGTACCGCGCTTTGAGGGAGAGGGCCGCCGAGGTGGCTGCGCGGCTGGGCGTGTCGGCGCTGGATCTGGAGAAGGTGGCGTACGTGGTGATGAAGGGATCCGGGGACGGTGGCGCGGGTGCCAAGGAGAAGGCGTCGAAGAAGACGGCTACAAAGGTGGAGGCCAAAGTAGAGAAGCCGCCGGTCAAGCGGAAGAGTACATCAAAGGAGGTAGAGAAGAAGGACATTGGCAAGGACAAGGATGCGCCTACGCAGGCAGAGCCTGGAGTGAGGCGATCCAAACGTTTAAAGTCATGAAATGTCTGTCTTTTCTCGCATACGGGTTGCTCCCGACACTGTAGATACTTTTATCAAGACGGGAGACGGGCTCTTCTAGCCTGCTAACCCGTCGGTCTTCTGGGCCGTTCAGCTGTCAAGCACGGCGTAATGGCAACTCGCCCAATCCCCAACAGCCCGGCTCATCCCTGGCTGCGCTACTCTGCCCTTCTTCATCGGCTTACCCAACCCGGGTGCTCAGTCGGTCGCCAGCATCCGGGGATCCGTCAGGCAAATGTCCTACTTCTCCTTCCTGGCCTCGCCGTCCTTTTGCGTGGCGGCGTACTTGTCGCTGAGCTCGTCGTAGCTCTTGTGGAGCTGCTCGCTCTGCTTCTTGAGCGTCTGCAGGTCCTGCTCCTTCTGCTCGAGCTTCTTCCTGAGGGCCGCGAGCTCGCCGGGCTTGCCCGCGACGGCCAGCTTCTCGCTCTCCTTGGTGTCGCCCTTGGTGCCCTCGTAGGCGCGGACGCGGTCCTCGAGGCGCATCACCTCGATGATCATGACGTAGGTGCGGTTGAGGATGAGCGACAGGAACAGCGTGAAGCCGCACAGGTACATGTTGCGCTGCGAGTAGAACTTGCGGGCCTGCACCTCGAGGCGTTCGTGGCCCATGACGGCGCTGTGCGGCGGCGACTGCCTGTCAGCCATCGATGGAGCAACAAGGGGCGTCACGGCATTGTGGGGTCAAACTCACGCTCCCTTAGAGGTCTGCTCCGTGGCGGCCAGCAGCTCGAGCTGGACGCGGTACACGCGATTAACGCTGTCGATGAAGAGGATGAGTATGAAGACAAAGGTAATCTTCATCCAATATTCTATCTTGGCGACGATGGGGTTCTCCGAGATGAAGCTGCGCGTTGTTCAGCGGACGGGTTCGGCAGTCGGCACGAGAACAGACGCGGGAAGAGAAACGCCGCAGGGACGTACGTAAAGATCTTGCGCTTGAGCTTGAAGGGCATGGGCATGATGAGGAGCATGAACACGGCCATCTCCACCATCAGGAGGACAAACACCTGCGCTCACGCGTCAGCACATGGCACCACATCGATTGTCAACCTGCTTTCGGCGCGGCTGGCGACTGGCACGTCGGAAGGGCGGAGGGCAGCTCACGAGGGTGTAGTAGAGCGTCATTGTGAGGGCGGGGCACGGCGTGCCGGGGTCGCGAGTCGTCGGGTGTAGTAGGACGAGAGGGATAGGTCCTCTCTGGTTAATTGAGCTAACAGGTAAGAGCGGGCGCAAAAACTTTGCGGATTATTCCTCGAGGACAAGTCGCCGGTCGCTGGTTTATGTAGACGAGAGTGGTGCAAGATGAAGAGGAGGAGCGAGAGGTGGCCCGTTCGTTTTGGTTGCCTTGGCTCGGCTGGGCTGGGCTGCGGCGGGCGGCAGCTCAGCCCACGCACCGACAACGTCATCGGACCCACACGAGCTTCCAGCCACGATGCATCCTCTTCTTGTCTCTCAGTGTTACGTATAGGCTCCCCTCGATTCTCGATTCTCGACCACGGCTCGAGAGGCGTCGCGCCTCGGCCCGCCGGCAGGCCCCCTTGTCGTCTTCACAATCTGCGCAGCATGCCGCCCGTGGACGACCGCGTCAGCGCGTCGCGCTTTTCACCAGTCTGACTCTTCGTCGCGACCGAATAGCACGTGTCCTTTCATTCATCCTTGCTGCGACGGCTACCGCGTTTCGATGCGGGTGCCTCCGTTGGCATCTCCCTTCTCCCATTTCTACCCGGCTAACCTCCCACCGTCCGTGCCAATTGCCTCTAGCTATCACGTCCAAATGTCGTCGTCTCTAAACTTGGCCGGCGGCCGTCTGTTACGCGCCGCGCGGTCGTTCCTCTTCCGGACCACCACGTCTTGATCCTCGTCTTCCTCGTCCAGCGACGTCTCCGCCCCGAATTTCCGCACGCTGCTCGGGGTCCCGTTTAGGCCACGTCCTGCAACATCGTCGCTGTCGCTAATTTCAATCACCTCAAACCGCGCTTGCTGGACCGTCGCCGGCGGTGTCGCTTGCGCCGCAGGCTCCGGCACGACACCGTCTTCGTTTGATGCTTGACCAGTCATCGCTTCGGACGCAGACGCAGGGGCTGCCTTCGGGGCCAGACGCGGATGCTTCCTAGGCCGGCCACTGCCCGGTCGCGCGCCGCCCCGTTTACCCTTGGGTTTCTTTGGGGGGTCCGTTGATCCTTTCGTTGGTGTATCGGGCTGCTGCGCTCCCGAGGATCCCCGGGCCCTCTTACGCAGGCGTGACGCGGATTCCGAACCATCATTGTCCGCCGCCTGACCGCCGTCGCCGGTGCGAGCGTGGTCAGGGTCGCGTGGCCGGTATTCGGCCTCATCGACCTCGGCATACGCCGCCCTCTTGCGCTTGCGAGACTTGCCAGCCCACGTCGAGGTGCCCAGGCCGTCGGTGTCGTCGTCAGTCTCGACCTTTCTCGTCCTTGGTCTACCAGGGCCTCTCTTCCTCTCAGGCTTGGGCGCTTTCCGCGCCACCTGGTCTCCTGCTTGCGCCCGACGTCCTCGTGTCCCCTTCACCTTGGTCGTGCCCGTCTCGCCGCCGGCTTTGTTGTCCAGCAATTTCTTTGTCAAGTTGGGAAAGTTCTCTCCGTAGTTAAAGAAGAGCTCCTCTCCCGCCTGAATATCTCTCATGGCCGTGAACTTGATTCTGTATTCGCCGTTGACGTATAGGATCCGAGGCGTGATGTTGCACCCTCGCTTGTCATGCTCCGACGCATGGTTGATATACCGACTGAGGTTGCCGTAGATGGCGGCGTCGACCCAGATGCCCTCGTTCTCCAGGAGCGTGAAGACGTACGACACGTTGGACTCTTCATCAAACACGTCTCCGCGTCGTGCCTCTCGCCGCACGCCTTCGTCATGCGTAATCAGCTCGCCCACGTACTCGATGATGAACTCGTCCTGGGTAATGTCTTCGGCCGTGAACAGCCCGTAGCCAACGCCCTCGAGCTGACTCTGGCCCAGGGCCAGTGTCTTGCCTGCACCTCGCTGCAAATCGCAATTCTGGCATCCCGACGAGTGAAGTCGCTCGTCCTGTGCGTTGGCCGGGTCCGCGCGTTCCAAAGCCCCGCATGAGCCGCACAGCTCCGGGTCGCACTCGCGGTTCAGTTGAACGCAGATGCAAGGCTTCTCCTTTTGTCTCTGCTGGCAAGTTTTGCCCAACGAGTGACAGGCACAGCCGGTAAACTTGTACTCACACGTCTCTACCGAACAACCGCAGAATTTGTCGCATAGGATGTCGGCGTCGACGCAAGTACATGATCCCGCTCGACAGGGACCATCGTGAGAGCAAGGCTCAAGCGTTTCTCGGCGCTGGTGTTCGTGGGTGAGAGTATGGTCCTGCCAATCCCCAAGGAGCACCTTTCTGTGTCTGTCGTACCATGAAAGGTTCTTGACGCGGGTGGGTTCTGGGAGCTCGGCTTGCGGCAGAGAGATACCTATCCGTTTAAACTCATCGTGAACATTCGCGCAGCATCGGTTGAGGAAGGCCGCTGCCAGGCAAATGGGATCACCATCAAACGTGCTGTTGGTTGCTGTTGTATAGAGAGACCGAAGCAGGACCTTTTCATTTTGTGTCCACTCGCGGCCTTTGTCGCAGTCGCATGGCGGCAACGACGATGAGTAGCAGTGTCCAGGGTGCCAGCTTTTCCATCCGGAGCCTGCACGCGTGTTGGAGGAACGTTGGCGCCGTTTCTTCAGCGCGTCTGGAAGACGCGAACACGACGAGATTGAAAAGTTGCGCTTCAAGTTCTTGTTATCGTACTCGCCATGATCGCAAGCATGGCTAAAGCAGATGAGGCATCCAAGGATGCAGTAAGTCGCCAGATTGAATTCTGCAAGCTCATCCTCGTCCATCTGCGCTGTCTCGTCGTCGTTTTGGGTGCCTGCACCGTCCTTGGCCGTCGGCTTCGATTCCATGATGCTGTCTACAGACTCGTCGAGCTGCAATACAGTCCGGAGGTCAACGTGTTTCGAGTCCGGCAGGCGCTCATCAAAGGCGCGCCGGAAGGCGTCGGTGAACAGCTGTGCGGCCCTATTCGTCTCCGGCGTGGTGTTGTCCGCTTCACGGTGCGATCTTAGAATGTCCGTCTTTTGTTGCGGCGTGATGGCGTGATCTGGCTCCGTGGTCGCCATATAGCTGATGAGGGCCGACTTGTTGCAGCCGGGGATGGCCAAGCGCTCCAGCCACGTCTCGAGGTAGAGTGACACAGTCGCAGCACGCTCCATGTGGTTGGCGTGTGCCTGCTTGCCCTCTCTGTTCATGGGCTTGAAACCTGACTTGAGATCAATTTCCTCCAGCTCCTTAAGCCAGAGGTTGTACTTGTTCTCCTCCGAGGTTTCCAGGTCGCGCAAATGAGGCACAAAGGTCAGCATGGTGTTGGGGGTGAGGACATTCTTCTTGATTCCGACGTGATGGAAGCGATATGAAGGAACGCGTTCCTTGTTTGTTATTGTGCAGACGGGCACATAGTGAACCTCCTTCTGATCCTTTCTGGTCTTGAGATGTTGCTGTCCAAACTGTCAGCCGGCACTATGCAAGTCTGTCACAAGGCATGCCTACTTTGAGCTTGACTCTCATGGAGTCGTCGCTTTTCTGCTTCAACGGGTCGGCCACGACACCGGCGAAGAGATCTGTGCCATTGCGGACGCGCCTCTCCGTGGCTTGCGTAGATTCCAGGATGTACGCGGTCAGCTGGGCGTGTCCGTCTCTGATGTCCTGGCGAAACAGGTCCAGCTGGTCAGCGATCCCGTCAACGGTCCAATTCGAGCTGCCGTCCTCGCCTCTGTTCGGAGTGCGCATGCTGGACGAACGATGATTGGAATGGCGCTGATTCGCCGATGGCTGAGGCGTCGCCGGCTGAGCCATGGCGATTGCAGGACCGGCGGTGGAGACGGAGTCGCTACTGCCACTGCTGAGAGTGGTAGGCGACGCTGCGCGAGACTTCCAGGGAGAGCGGTCAATGCGGTTGGTATCGTGGATGCGATGTGCTCCTGAGCTTCTCCTGAGCGGCGGCGGGCTTATGGGCGCCCTGGTGCCGTTTGGTCTCCTGCTGCCAAAGTCCGCGAGGCGTGACTCTAGGCTGGCCGCGCCGTCATTTCCGTCGTGGGCCCTCGCGACAGGTTCAGCACCGTGCTGGCGGTCCTTTACTTCGGAGAAGCGATGATGGGCAGAGTTGGAGGAAGTCGAACGCGCCGCCATGGCGGATGACTAAGGCTAGTTCCCAGGGCGGCAATCGGCAACCAGCCCTCTGACACGACACGACACGTTCGCTCCTGCCCGGCTCAAACGTGGCACGCGCGACAACAGCCGTGACCAGAACGAGTTGAGGGCGCCGTCTCACGTGTCATAAAACCAGCCTAACAACCTCAGCAAGCTGCTTCTCCGTCGTCGTCGTCGTCGTCTTCAGTCTGCACTAACCACTCATGACACGCCTGCCCTGGACGCGCGTGAACGTTGCCAACGCTCAGCTGAGGCAAGCTTGCGGTTGGCAAGTGCTAGAACCGGCCGTCACGAAGCAGTCGAAACTCGCATCACAGCCTCGGACGCGCCCGAGTTGCCTGCGGTGCCGACAGACAGACGAACGACAATGACGAACCGGCAGCCCAAGGGAAGCACCACGCGAACTTGGGCTGTCGTGCCCTGAGCCTGGACTCCCTGGAGGACCCCAGTGGCCCAACACGTGGGAGCAGTGCCCGATGCGCACACGAGAGAGCCGGTCCGGTGCTCGAGTATCAGTCACGCGCAAAACGCTCGGCGTGCGACGGCGTGGACTAGCAGTTGAGGAAGCGCAGACGGCAGACAGCTTTGACACGAGATGCTCTCCCAGACAACAATGAAGGCGTCGAACAAGAAAAACACGGAATTCCAGGGCGGGTGCCTGCAGGGGTGCTGCCCCTATCGGCGTACAGTGGGGGTGGGTCTAGGCTCTGTAGACGCTGCGGTGCAGTGTATTTTGTCGCGTTGCACGGAGTGGCCAGGTAAAGCTGCCAGAGCATCCCAAGCTTCTGCTCTTATTAGGGTCTTTGGTCAAAGCATGGAATCTAGATCCGGCATTGCAAAATGCTATCTGATCGGAGATTCCATTGCCAAATTGTGTCGGCGCCCCCATTGTCCCGAATCACCAACGTCAGTGCAGTTCCGGGACGACGGTTTGCGCCCCAAGCAGCCTGCCGCCAGCAGCCCTGGAGCTGAGATTGCAGCGCAGGCTTGTCAGTGTCACTTTGCCCTTCCAAGATTGGAAATCGACGAACTCGGCCCTACAAAGCACGACGCTCCCTTTGCAAGGATATCTCGTGCCTACAGCAGCATCCTCCACCGGCATGCCGACTTTGTGCCTGGCTCGCCCGGCGTCCGGCACTCCGGCCGCTGGACCACGGCATGGCACCTAATGCAGGGGCGTGCCGCTCGAACCCGCCCAAGATCCGCCATTGCGATCCGGCTCCAACTCCGCGACCGGTACGGTTCGGAAGGCCCATCGAAGATCCAACCCCGGCCCGGTTCCCTTGCAGGGCTACGTCATCGACACACACGTTCACGGCGACTCGATCATCACGTGACATGGGAACTCACCAGCTTCCTGCTTCCTGTCGGTGCCGCGCAATGACCTCATAGGTGCAACTCTGCGTTTTGAACCCTGCAGACGAGACGAGACGGCTCTTACGACTGCAGTGAGTTGCACAAGCCGCGCCAGGGCCTTCCCCAAGCGCAGAGATCCCCGGGAAGGGGCTGTCTTGGGGTTGTCTTGCGTAGATGGATCAGAGACCGTGGCTGATGAATGCCGTCGTCAGGGAGCATGGTGTTTTCTATGCTTTACCATGCTTGCCATGTCCCAGACGGCTTCTCGAAAGCCAGAGTTTACCTTGGCGGGCTCGCGTGGGGCACCGCCAGCTCCCGGGATGGACAAGCTGAAAATGATGCCATCATACGGCAGTCATGGCGTCTGCCCACATTGGCGCACACGGCATTGCTTGCACCACAGCGTCCCGCGAACGTTTCCGCGCCCGCTTATTAGCACACACGGCGCCAGCGGAGATGGCGTCTGGCACAAGCACCGGACGGATACCAAGGCAGATAGATACGAGTGCAAGCACCAGGACCTCGCCGTAGGTAGTAGCCGGCGACGGCGCGGCCGAAACCTTTGGCTACGGCGGGCCGGGCCCTGATGAGCGTCACTTGCAGGACGGATATTGGTCAATTAGAGACTCCTCCCTGGGAGACGGTCGCCCGCCAGCGAGGCGCTGCCCTCGGCGCCGCCCTCCTCCGTCAGCGATCTTCCCTCACCCTCGAGGGGGGCTGTGCTGGCGTACGCGTACCAACGCCGCAGGAGCCCGGGCGACGGCGCGCTCGACGGCGCAGGGCAACGGGAAATGAGATGAAACGTGCAGCAACCACCCGGGACTCTGGCTCTCATGGCTGCTTGTCCTGACGGGAGCTCACGGCTCCGTCATCCAGCGACGGTAGCTCGACACTAGCACGGCGTAGCTTCGAGCTTCGGCAGCCCATCCAGCCGCATGCGGAATGGGGGGCGACGGCGCCGAACGGGGGCTTGCAAAGTTGGGGCGGCGGAGGAGGGGCGGCCAGGAGAGTCGCATCGATTCGCAACGATGCCTGGTCCTTGGCGGGCGGGCCAAGCAGAGAGAGTGCCGAGACGATTTTGGCGACCCAGATTTTTTAGAAAGCCTGCGACGTGGGTCTCGGGGCCTGGCGAGCGATGCGATACGATGCGTACGTACGTACGTATTCGCACATTCGTGGATGTTTCGAGGCCGCGCAGGGTTGCCCGGCGCGCGGATAGATCCAGGGTCTCCGGCCATACCGGGGCCCGACCCGAGCCAGCCTGACGGGATGGACGATGAGCTGGCTTCACTGGAAATGGGTATCTTGGTGCGGTATGGCTGCCGCTGCAGGGTCTGGGACGCCCCGTGCTGCTGGGCCGTTCCATGCAGGTGGCTGCTGGAGGTGGCTCCAGCCCAGTAGGTGGAATGGATGGCACGGGAGGGCTGGAAGGATCCGTCGTCACCTCTCTCCACTGGGGCCGGCCGGGCCTCCCCTCGTTACCTAGCAAGCTCAGGTAGGTGACCAGGACAGGGTGCGGGCGCTCTCTCCAGTGCATCGCCCGGCGCCGTTTGGCGCTGCAATCGCGCTGGGCTGGCGGTGCGGTGAGGTGGGGCCCCTGAAGCGTCCGGGTGCTCCAGCGTGCGCGCGGGCGGGCTGGATTGGTGCTGGAGGGGGGACGGAGGGAGGCTCCAGCCTGGACGAGGTCCGGCACAGGCGCCCGAAACGACCTCACACTCGTCG